GTGTTGAACTCGAACCCTGTCGCCTCTTCTCTTCTGCTCAAGGACGATAACCTTCTCCACTATTGTGGTATCCTTACCCATAAACCTTTCTCTCCTCCTGTTGTCGAAACCCTCCTTAGAATACGCGTCGACCCAGACCTCGCGGAACTTAACAGGAAAGCTCGAGCAGGTGCTTGAATCGATATTGTTACATGCTTACCCTTGTGTTTGTCGCATCTCACATTTTCGACTAAGCCTTTATTAACTTGTATTTTCTTCGTGCAGAGGGATTTCTACCCAAGCCCAACCTCATAAGATCCAAAGATAAAGGTTTTGCGGACAAGGATTCCCCCAACCCAGTAGAAAAAGCCAAGTGCACCTCTTTGACTAAAGAGGCGCCTCCTCAGAGGTCAGGGGTTTCTTCCGGCTCGCACAAGAAGAAGACACCCTCCTCCCTATCCAAGCAATCTGACCGTCCTACCAGTCATTTGACCAAAGAGAGTGAGACTTCAAAAAAACGCCCACGCTCCGAGGTGGTCGTTCCATACCTTCCAACCAAAACGTCGACCATCCTAGGTCTCCCAGCAAGCGTCTTCATACTGAGGCTAAGTTTGCTGGAACCAACTTGTTCAACCACCATATCATTCTTCCTCCCTGGCGGGGGCTAGTCCTCGCGAGGCCAGCTCTCGTTTAATCAGCCTCCTGCCTTTCGAGGATACCCATCGTTGGGTAGTCGACCATCGGGCCCAAGCTGAGTATGCTGCCTGAGCCTTGATTCAAGTATTCTTATCTATGACCATTCTTTGTATCTTCGACCAACAATCTCTTCTGTTTATGCTTATATCCTGACTTGTGTTACTTGTGCAGACTATCGTCTCCGTTGCCCCCCTCCTCGAGGAAATTTTGAATAGTTCTGGTCGTCCTCTTCCCGTGGTCGAGGGCAAAAACAGACGGCTTGATGCAGAGGTCCAACGACTCAAGATCGAGAATCAAAAGCTACTCAAGCTTCAGCAGGAGCAGACAGAGCAGCTGAAAAAAGATGAGCACCGCTATAAAGACGCGCTAAAAGGCAAGGATAAAGTCCCTGAGGCAGAACGATTGAGCTAGAAGAAAGAAGTCGAAACCGCACCTAAAGCTGCGGTAGAGCAGTCCCAGAAGACTTTATGGAGGTTTTTGTTCGGGCAGAGCTTCCTTAAAGTTTATCGAGAGCAATTAATCGTTGACTATCTCTGCTCGACAGCCTTTGTCAAGGAAGCTTCAGGCATGGGGCTCGACTTCTACACCTACAGCGTGGAAGAGATCGAGTGGCAGCTGCAGGAGCAAGGCTATACAGGCAAGTTGGAACTCAATAATGCTTGGGGTGCCATTCCGTCCATGCCTTCCAACTTTACCAGTGATCCCAGCTTGCCTGTCGAGCATCCGTGGTGGTCGGAGTCATTGGGGCGGGCCTTGATGAGGGATAAGGCCCTACAGACTTATTTGACTTGCCTAAACCAAGTGAAGCCCCAACGATCCGGCTCTCTGTCACCCTTCCTCCTCTGCCTCTGACCACTAGCGCCTCTTTAATCCTCCTCTGGTCCCTCCGCTTACATTGTTGGCCAATCTTCTGCTGCCGCTGCGATCTTGTCGACTATGGCCATACAATCGACCACCCTTGCTGCCGCCTCATCGACTGTATCCGCGCAGTCGACTACTGCCGCCACCACCTCATCGACTATACCAGCCTAGTCGGCCGCAGCTGCTCAATCAACTCCTCCGCCTCCTAAATGATGATTTTTTAGTTTGATTGATGTACTTTGTATTTTTTTTATTTTTTATTTTGCTGATGTAACTTTGAACTTTTTTGTTGATGTAATTTTGACTGTGTTGAATGGAGTTCCGATTTTCTTTCTTCTCGGCTGTTTGTCTTCTCTTTGTTTGTAGCTTGTTGTGAGAATGATGTGGGTGAGCCACGCCATATATGAATCTTCTCTCCATTTTAACTTGATTAAGCCTTTGTATATGATGTCGATGAGACTCCCATCCTTAGTGAGTTTTGGTGATCCAATTGTATATACTATGTATGGTTTGGTTCGTGAATCTCGTCCAGTTAGGTGCTTCATTAGCTTTGTTTGCCCTCCATTTTTGTTGTAAACCTGCTCGAACCTATTCCATACAATTGGTGTCCTCTTGTTGATTCAAGAAATGTTCAAAACAAGCGACCCTCGCCCACCCCTCGAGCGGGATGTTCAAAACGAGGGAACTTGGTCTTCTCACTTGCTCACCCCAAGGGATGTTCGAAACATGGCGGTCGTCCAGCCCGGAGGCGTGGACTTTTTCGACCACCTGCCCACCCCAAGGAATGTTCGAAACAAAGGACATGTTCAAAACGAGGGACTTTGGTCTTCTCACTTGCCCACCCCAAGGGATGTTCGAAATATGGCGGTCATCCAGCCCGGAGGCGTGGACTTTTTCGACCACCTGCCGACCCCAAGAAATGTTCGAAACAAGCCACCCTCGCCACCCCTCGAGCGGGATGTTCAAAACGAGAGACTTTGGTCTTCTCACTTGCCCACCCCAAGGGATGTTCGAAACATGGCGGTCGTCCAGACTGGGGGCATGGACTTTTTCGACCACCTGCCCACCCCAAGGAATGTTCGAAACAAGCGACCCTCGCCCACCCCTCAAGCGGGATGTTTAAAACGAGGGATTTTGGTCTTCTCACTTGCCACCCTAAGGGATGTTCGAAACATGGCGGTCGTCCAGCCCGGAGGCGTGGACTTTTTCGACCACCTGCCTACCCCAAGGAATGTTCGAAACAAGCGACCCTCGCCCATCCCTCGAGCGAGATGTTCAAAACGAGGGACTTTGGTCTTCTCACTTGCCCACCCCAAGGGATAATTGAAACATGGCGGTCATCCAGCCCGGCGGCGTGGACTTTTACGACCACCTGTCAACCCCAAGGTATGTTAGAAACAAGCGATCCTCGTCCACCCTTCGAGCGGGATGTTCAAAATGACAGACTTTGGTCTTCTCACTTGCCCACCCCAAGGGATGTTCCAAACATGGTGGTCGTCCAGCCCGGAGACGTAGAAGTCTTCGACCACCTGCCCACCCCGAGGAATGTTCCAAACAAGCGACCTTCGCCCACCCCTTGAGCGGGATGTTCCAAGCGAAGGGCTTTGGTCTTAACACTTTCCCACCCCAAGGGATGTTCCAAACATGGTGGTCGTCCAGCCCGGAGGCGTAGACTTTTTCGACCACCTGCCCACCCCGAAGAATGTTCCAAACAAGCGACCATCGCCCACCTCTTGAGCGGGATGTTCTAAGCGAAAGGCTTTGGTTTTGACACTTGCCCACCCCAAGAGATGTTCCAAACATGGTGGTTGTCCAGCCCGGAGGCGTAGACGTTTTTGACCACGTTCCCACCTCAAGGAATGTTCCAAACAAGTGACCTTCGCCCACCCCGTGAGCGATTTATTCCAAGCGAAGGGCTTTGGTCTTGACACTTGCCCACCCCAATGGATGTTCCAAACATTATGGTCGTCCAGCCCGGAGGCGTAGACTTTTTCGACCACCTGTCCACCTCGAGGAATGTTCCAAACAAGCAACCTTCGCCCACCCCTTGAGCGGGATGTTCCAAGCGAAGGGCTTTGGTCTTGACACTTGCCCACCCCAAGGGAAGTTCCAAACATGGTGATCATCCAGCCCGGAGGCGTAGACTTTTTCGACCACCTACCCACCCCGAGGAATGTTCCAAACAAGCGACCTTCGCCCACTGATGTGGTCGCTAGTAGTGGTTCGTGCGGAACCGGTTATGATCCGGTCATCACTGTCATATGAAGGGAACCAGCTAGGTATCATGACAACAGGTGCTCGGCGTTAGGGAGTGCTCGGCGGCCCCGAGTGCTCGGCGTTAGAGAGTGCTCGGCGGGCCCGGGTGCTCGGTGTTAGAGAAGTACTCGGCATTTAGGAAGCCTGGCCCAGGGGCACTGTCAAAGGGACTGGAATTTGATATTGGCGTGGAGATCAAGTTACGAGGAGGTTGACAAAAATAAGGACTCTAGAGACAAAAGAGATAAACTTCAAGAAGAGTTCTTGTCTCAAGAGGACTCTCCAAGTTTCTCTTATAAAAGGAGCAGGTTCATTCATTTTTACACAACACACATTCACGAACTATCTCGTTACTCTGCCGTTTTCTCTCTAGACCATCACTGACTTGAGCGTCGGAGTGTTCGCGCCGGGACCACCCCCGGCGTGCTTTGCAGGTACCGACGACCAAGGAGACACAACCCAGTTCGAGAGGAGCGGTCCAGCGGTTCGATATTTGTGGCATAACAAATTGGCGCCGTCTGTGGGGAGGATCAGTCTTCTACCAGAGTTTTAAGGGCTGTTTTTTCTCACTACAAAAGAAGAACGATAGAAGTCATGGCAGGAGATAATTCGAAGAAGAACTTGACTAAGGAGATGGATGAGGAGTGGGCTCGGAGGGCCTTCGGGGCAGGTCCCCCGCCGGGCTGGTCATCATCGCCTGTCACCCCCAAAGAGACGTTGTTGGGCCCGGGCGTGACCCCGATACCACCGTCAGAAGCTCAGAAGCGCGCGGCGAACTCGGGAGGATCTGGTGGGGTGGCGGACAAAGCGAAGGAGGCTGGTACCACGGTTGATGGCGGGGCAAATCAAGGTGTTTTAGGATCCGGGGGTGCTGGTGATCAGAGTGGTGCCCTTGGGAGTAGGCAGTTGGTCGTGGTAGGAGCACAAAACCCTCCGGGGGATAATGTTTCTTCGACACCACGGGAGGACCCGGTTATCCAGATGACCAGGTCGGAGTTGGATAGGATCATTGCGGAGGCAATAGGCCGGGCTCAAGAGGTGGATAAGAGAGCCCCTAATGAGACGTTTAAACAACCTCCGCCGCGACAGCCGCTAACACCTCAACAACAAACCCCCGTGCAACAGCAGCACCAGCGCGTGGAGAGGGGTGACGAGGAGGATACTAGGTCAGTGACCTCCCGCCCGATGGCGACGGAGAAACCAGAAAGGTTAACTTTGGAGAGGTTGGCAGCTCAAATGCGGGAACTCCAAGCTCAGGTGCAGGGTAAGAGACCTGTAGTCTCGCGAGGACACCCCTTTGCAGAGGATGTCTTAGGAAGAGACTTGCCTAGCAACTTCAGGGAGTTGAGTTTGTCATATGACGGATCGGCGGACCCAGCTAGGCACTTGAGATCGTTTGACAACATAGTCGTGCTGCACAGGTATAGTGATGCCGTGAGCTGTCGGGCCTTTTTGACAACTTTGAAGGGGTCGGCACAAGATTGGTTCCACCAGTTGCCGGCGGGATCTATCGATTGCTTTGAAAAGTTCAGCTCTTTGTTTCTAAATCAGTTTGCGAGTGCCAGGAAACATGAGAAGACGTACCTCTCGTTGATCAATATGCAGCAGAAGGAAGGGGAGACCTTGCGACAGTATGTAGCGCGGTACACTAAGGAGTGCGTGGAGGTCCCCTCGGCCTCAGAAGAGATAAAAGCTGGGGGCCTTACGCGGGGATTGAGGCCTGGGAAGTGTAGAGATTCCTTGGCGAAGAGGCCGTCGAGATCCTTTGATGAGCTACTGGAGAGGTGCAACAAGTTTGTGAATATGGAGGAATCAGAGGCGGATTTCCTTCGAAGTGACAAGACAAAGATTAAGCAGGTAGAGGAGAAGCCTCGACAGGGTGATCGACGAACCGCCCCCAAGGAGTCCAGGGTTGAGCATCGGTTCAGGGGTCCGAGATACGAGCATTATAGACAACTTAATGCGCCGAAACAGGAGATCTTGGAGACGATGGAAAAGCGGGGGGAGGAGAAGCTGCTCGCACAACCAAAACCTTTGCCCCCACCGCGGAAGTTTTCGGCATCGAAGGACAGGTATTGTCGGTACCACCGTGATTTCGGTCACTCTACCAATTTTTGTCGGGAGTTAAAGGACGAAATTGAGCGGCTCATTCGGGCCGGTCACTTAAAGGAGTTTGTAATCAAGGATAGAGAGCGCCAGGATGATCGTCGAGAAGGGCGAGAGTCGGGTGACAAGAGGCGAAGGACTGATGAGCAGCCTGATAGACCGGGGTAAGGGTGTGGCGGATGAGGTTGCTGAGGTATAGGTGCAAAGGAGCTTGGCCACTTTGAAGTTTGGAGCTGACGATGTACAGGGGCTTGTCGTCCCACACAATGATGCCTTGGTTATCACTGCGGAAGTGGCCAGTTATGATGTGCAGAGGGTACTCATAGACACGGGGAGCTCGGCGGATATCATTTTCCTGAAGTGCTTACAGCAGATGGAGTTAGATGTGAAGGTCGAGCCGATCCACACTGCCCTCTACGGCTCAGCGGTAGTGAGGTCCGCCCCGTGGGTGAAGTTAGTTTGACTGTGGCATTGGGGAGGTCGCCCTTGAGAATGGTAAAGATGGTCCGCTTCTTGGTCGTGGATGCTAGTTCGGCTTACAACATCATACTGGGGCGGCCTAGCCTGAATTCATTCCAAGCAGCTGTTTCAACTTATTGCATGAAGATCAAGTTCCCCGTGGGGGATGAGGTTGGTGAAGTGACTGGAGACCAATTGCAGTCTCGGCGGTGCTATGAGGTCACATTGAAGACGGCTGAGGCACAGCATAAGAGGAAGAATGACAACCTGCCGGAGTGCTCCCGTCGGGAGAAGAAGCAAGAGTTGGGAATTAGCTCCCAGGACGAACTGATGGAAGTCGAACTGATAGAAGGTAATCCGGAAAAGACAACAAAGGTAGGACGTCACTTGGCGGTGGATCTGCAAGGCGCGTTGATTGCGCTATTGAAGGAGTTTGTGGATGTTTTCGCCTTTTCAGCTGACGACCTCACAGGGATCGACCCCGGGGTGGCGGAGCATAGGTTGAACATTGACCCAACTGTGAGACCGGTAAAACAGAAGAGGAGGCACTTTGGTGCTGAGTTAGACGTGGTCATTGAGGCAGAAGTGGAGAAGTTGTTGAAGGCGGGGCATGTACAACCTATTCAGTTCCCGGAGTGGTTGTCCAACTCAGTTATGGTGCGTAAGGGGGAAGGAAAGTGGAGGATGTGTATCGACTTCAGGGATCTCAACAAAGCTTGCCCAAAAGATCACTACCCCCTACCACGTATTGACCAGCTCGTCGACTCTACGGCTGGGTGCGAGTTGTTGAGCATGATGGATGCCTCCCAGGGGTACCACCAGATCCCCCTGGCCGTGGAGGACCAAAAGAGGGTTAGCTTTGTGACATCCAAGGGCACCTACTGCTACGTTGTCATGCCTTTTGGATTGAAAAATGCGGGAGCTACTTATCAGCGGTTGGTGGATAGGATGTTCAAAGGGCAAATAGGGCGGAACATGGAGGTCTATGTCGATGACATGCTAGTGAAGAGCAAGAAGGCGGATGATCATGTGGTGGATTTGCGTGAGACGTTGAACACTTTGCGACTATATGGCATGAAGCTCAACCCGACCAAGTGTAAGTTCGGGGTGCGCTCGGGAAAATTCTTGGGGTATCTGGTGACGGAAAGGGGCATTGAAGTCAACCCGGAGAAGGTGCGAGCCGTCATCGAAATGCAGCCACCAAGGAATTTAAGAGAGGTGCAGATTTTGACCGGGCGCCTAGCGGGGTTGAGCAGGTTCATCGCTCAATCCGCCGAAAAGAGTTTTCCATTTTTTAAGGAATTAAAGAAGGGTTCGCGATTCGAGTGGACGTCTCAGGCGCAACATGCATTCGAGAGGTTGAAAGAATTCTTGGCCGAGCTCCCCCTACTTACAAAGCCGGAGCCTGGCGACACTCTAGTTGTATACTTATCAGTGGGTCACGAGGCTATCAGTTCTGTATTGATAAAGGAGGAACATGGGCAGCAGAAACCAATATATTACGCAAGTCGGATATTGCAAGGGGCCGAGCGCCGATACTCAGATGTGGAGAAGGCCGCCTTGACACTCATCTCCACTGCTCGAAAGTTGCGCCCCTACTTCCTAGTGCATAAAGTCATGGTGCGAACGAACTACCCACTCAAGGACACTATGGGTCGTCCTTCGGCCTCGGGAAGGATGGTGAAGTGGGCAGTGGAGTTAGGCGAATACAATGTCGACTTCGAGGTCCGAAAAGCTATCAAGGCGCAGGCGTTAGCCGATTTCATACAAGAATGCACACTGGGAGATGAGAAGGGACCATGGATGGTGTATGTCGACGGCTCGTCGGCCATAGGAGGAGCGGGTCTCGGCATCTTGGTGGTCACGCCCGAGAAGGACCATTTGGAGTTCGCGGTGAAACTCTCGTTCAGGGTGTCGAATAATGAAGCGGAGTACGAAGCCCTCATCAAGGGGATCCAACTCGTTTTGAAGGAAGGAACCCGACGAGTAATCATTCATTCGGACTCTCAGCTGGTGGTCGAGCAGGTCAGAGGCGAGTATGAAGCTAAGGAGGAGCGCATGAAGAAGTACCTGGTGGAGGTCCATGCGATGTTAAAAGGATTCGCGACTTGGGAATTGATACAGATACCGCGGGGGGAAAATGGTAGGGCCGACCTACTCTCGAAGGTGGCCGCATCGCTTGTGGATTGTCGATCTCGGTCGGTAACATTGATGGATATGACCAGAAGTACTTTAGACCAAGTGCTAGAGGTTGAAGAGCAAGAGGATTGGAGATCGCCCCTAATACAGTGGTTGTGAGAGCCGGTGGTTGGAAAGGATATCAGGGACGACCCGGTAGGAAGGAGGGCATTGAGGTTCTATTTGCAGAATGGGATCTTATATAAGCGATCGTACGTAGGGCCCCATCTAAGGTGTGTCTCGGAGCAGGACGGGGAGTACGTGCTAAGGGAGGTACATGAAGGATGTTGTGGTGATCACTTGAAGGCTAGGGCGTTGGTCGGGAAGGTACTCCGGGCCGGATACTTCTGGCCTAAGATGAGGGCGATGGCACAGGACCTTGTGCGCAAATGTAAGAGGTGTCAGCAGCATGGTCCATTGATACATAAAGCAGCTGAGAACATGGTTCCGATTAGCTCGCCTCTACCTTTTACTCAGTGGGGGGTTGACATAGTCGGACCTTTGCCCCAGGCGACGGGCCAGCGAAAGTTCCTCATTGTGGCAGTGGACTACTTTTCTAAGTGGATTGAGGCCGAGCCCTTAGCAACAATCACAGAAGAAAGGGTGATGAAGTTTCTTTTCAACAACATATGTTGTCGGTACGGCATCCCTCGAGTGCTTGTATCTGATAATGGCACCCAGTTTAGAGGTCGGCGTACGATGAGTTGGTGCGAGGAGATGGGCATCAAACAGCAGTTTGCCTCGGTCGCCCACCCCCAAGCGAATGGGCAGGCTGAGGTCGCGAACAGATCAATTCTAAATGGGTTGAAGGTAAGATTGGAGAGAGCCTCAGGTGCTTGGGTGGATGAGCTTGTTTCCGTGTTGTGGTCATATCGGACGACACCAAGGACCTCAACGGGGGAAACGCCGTTTAGTCTAGTATATGGCATGGAGGCTGTCATCCCGGTGGAGATCGGCCTCAACTCAGAGCGGGTGAGTACCTACACGGAAGAAGGAAACGTGGAGCTTCGAAGGGAGGCCCTGGACCTGGTGGATGAGCTACGTGACCAGGCAGGATTAAGGACGACGGTTTACAAGCAGCGGATGAGGGCGGCACATGACAAATCAGTTCGAGCTCGTCGATTCCAAGTAGGGGACCTGGTCTAGCGCCAGGCTGATGCCTTGAAGCATGTTGGGAAGCTGAAACCGAACTGGGAGAGGGCCCTATACTGTTGAAAGGATATTCGTAGGGGGCGCCTATGAGCTTCGTGATGTTGAGGGGCGGCTGTTACCCCGGACGTGTAACATATCCCACTTGAAGAAATATTATGCATAGTTAGAGACATGTTATTTTTCCTTGTTTTTGGTTGTTATTTAATTATGTTCTCGTGAGATGAATAATAAAGTTACATTTGAAGTTTTTCAGCTTAACTCTCTTCTTGTGTGATGTGTTTAAGGGTGATGACCTGATAGTCTCGCCTAAGCTCGCGGAGCTAGGTGACGACCTCTTTAGGGCGAAAGCCTGGCAAGTCTCGCCTAAGCTCGCGGAGCTGGGCGACGACCTCTTTAGGGCGAAAGCCTGGCAAGTCTCGCCTAAGCTCGCGGAGCTAGGCGACGACCTTTTTAGGGCAAAATCCTGGCAAGTCTCGCTTAAGCTCGCGGAGCTGGGCGACGACCTCTTTAGGGCGAAAGCCTGGCAAGTCTCGCTTAAGCTCGCGGAGCTGGGCGACGACCTCTTTAGGGCGAAAGCCTGGCAAGTCTCGCCTAAGCTCGCGGAGCTAGGCGACGACCTCTTTAGGGCAAAAGCCTGGCAAGTCTCGCCTAAGCTCGCGGAGCTAGGCGACGTCCTCTTTAGGGCAAAAGCCTGGCAAGTCTCGCTTAAGCTCTCGGAGCTGGGCGACGACCTCTTTAGGGCGAAAGCCTGGCAAGTCTCGCCTAAGCTCGCGGAGCTGGGCGACGACCTCTTTAGGGCGAAAGCCTGGCAAGTCTCGCCTAAGCTCGCGGAGCTAGGCGATGACCTCTTTAGGGCAAAAGCCTGGCAAGTCTTGCCTAAGCTCGCGGAGTTAGGCGACGACCTCTTTAAGGTGAAACCCTGGTAAGCCTCGCTCAGGCTCGTGGAACCAGGCGATGACCTCTGTGATTGACGAAGTCATCGCGTAAGACTGAGAATGAGAGTCTTGGAAGACTTAGCAATAGTTGTGCTAGGTGCAAAAGCCCGTGGTCACAACGTTAAGTGCTTCTAGGACTTGGTGAATGACGAAGTGTGGTTACTTGTACAAGATAAGTTATGTAAGTACGAACAATTGAAACAAATAAGCAACACAATAAAAGCAAAGTATCGAGCGAGTTTACGGTTACATGCCCAAATAAAAAAGTTCGTGCAAGAATAAAGGGTTCGTGGCTACGCGCCGACATAACAAAAGAGATAATCTAGAGAGAGGTTCCATGCAACCGAGTCGATAGAGAAACAAAAAGCCATAAGCGAGTGGCACAGTTAGATCTAAGAGGGCAGTGCGTTGTCCTCCGACTCGAGGATCTCCTCCGCCTCTAGGCCGACGGTAGTGGCGATGGCCTTCGCGGCGGTCTCCAGGGCCGGCTCCCACCAAGGATGGGTTGGCGGAAGGGTCGGGTCGCCGTTCCACCCCGCGGGGTTAGGGAAACCACTCATCATCTCGAGCTCCTCCGCCTCGTCCACGACGATAGCGGCCCCTGCCTCTTTCACCTTCGCCAAGGTTCGGTGGATCCCCTCATGGAAGTATAGGCGGCAGGCTGTGCATATCCTCACCAGATAGGCCCTGGAGTCATGGTACCTCGATAGCAGCTCGCGTCGGTACCGCTCGACGAAGTGACATCCGAGTTCGGATGCTAAGAAGGAAGTCAGTCCCTCGGCTCGGGCGTGGGCAATGCGCGCATCCACTGACGAGCGTAGCTCCTCGAGCTCGGCATCCTTGGCCTTGAGTTTGGCATTTTTGTCCTCGAGTTCGGCCTCTTTGGCCGTAAGCTCAGCATCCTGGGCCTTGAGTTTGCCTCGGAGCTTTTCCTTCTCGGCTTTTTGGAGGTCGAGAGTCTTTTGAAGCTTGGAGAGTTTCTCTTCACCCTTCTTCACCTCTTCCTTGAGGGACTCCATCTCGGCGCCATCGCCCTCCAGTTGTTCCTCTAGGAGGGGGGGCATGCCTGCTAGAGCCTATTTGGAACAGAGGGTGAGTTATACATAAATTTTACAACATTTGTTTAATAAATAAGAATCGAGAGGGGGGGGGTCACGTACCAATCCGAGGTGGTAGGTGATAGCTCCGGCTCGGTCCACCTTGGTGGGCCATTTCGTAGTCTCGCCCCGCGGGAAGATATCAACAAGGTAGGAGCTGGTCACGGAGGCATCATGGTTCTCGGCGACCTTGTTCGGCCGTGTCAGGGGCGCCTCGGGATCTTCCGATGATCTAAGTCTCTTGCGTTTGGCCGAGAAGGTTCTCCCCGGGCACTCGCGGGGATAGGTGCGCGGAGGAGAGCGCAGAGGAGCATTGCCCTTGGGGGAGTTAACCATCGGTGTGGTTCGCCCCTTGGGGGAGTCGGCACCTTCTCTGAGGGCTCGATGGGAGCTGTGGTCACAGTAGAGGGGGGTGCAGCCACGGTCTTAAGGAGCTCCTCTGCAAAATAAACCAAAGATACAAATATAAGTAAACGAGTTATATGCATATGATTAACATGAAAAAGAAAGTAAGGGATACGATAGCGGCACAGGGTGCCCGGCCCTACCTATATCATCTACAGGGTCGGTGGCACGTCTGGATAGCCCGAAATGCCCTAGGAGCCGGTCGCTGGTGGTCAGTTTCATCATGAGAAGGGGGCACTCATTCCACTGATCAATGAGGGCCTCGTAAGTGGTATTTTTCTTCGGGTTCTTGTCCTGCTTTGGGGCCATGGGCGGGAATTCGAAGGTATCGGGAGGGGGACGTACGAAGAAGTATTTATTTTTCCAATTGTGTGACTTCGATTGGGGCTGATCTATGAAGCGCATACGAGTACGGCGCATGAGGTACGGGGCGCTTTTCGGGTTCCGAAGGCAAATACAATAGAAGCAGAGTGTGGGGTCGAGATCACCGAGGCGAGCTCGGCACACCATGATGAAGCTAACAAAGAGACGGATCGAGTTGGGAGGTAGTTGGTTTAGAGGCATCCCATACAATTGGCTTAGACTAAGTAGGTCGGGGTGAAGGGGGAATCTCATCCCCGCGCTCACTTGGTCTAGGTAGAAGCTGTGGTAACCGGGTGGGGGGCTATCGAACGAGTCCTCGGGCTTAGAGATCCTAAGTTCCCAACCTTTTGGTAATTCAATTTTTTTGGTAAGGAGGGCTATTTGGGTGTCCGTATATGAGGAGATGGGGTTGATAGGCACGGCTTGGGGGTGGACGGCATTCTCTTTAGCTTTGGTGATGGGAGAGGTCGTCGGGCCCGGGAGAGCTAAGGTGTTGGGAGATGGTTCTTTGGGAGAGGAGTGTGAAGGCGAATGGGAGGAAGAACTAGTGGTACCCGAAGAGGTGGAGCTAGTGGTGCCCGACGAGGTAGAGCTAGTGGTGTGGCTCGTCGAGGAAGAGTTATGGGGAGGGGTAGGGATGGTTTTTTCTAAAATGAATGGAAGCGGGAAGGCGAGTACGAATGCAAAGCGAAGAGTATGACAAATAAATGAAA